TCAAAATCCACTGTAGGCCCTTCACACGGCCCACCAGACCCCCGTGATCTGGACCTGCCTACCTATCCAGCCTCTATTGCAACCTCGCCATGACCTGTGTGGTCCGCAGACTAGCAGCATGGACATCATCGGGGAGCTAGTTAGACATGAAGACTTTCAGACCCCCAACCTGACTTAGTGAATCGGAACCTGAACTCTAAGACGACCTGCAAGGTTCTTGGAAAAGTCTGAGAACAGCGGCTTACACTGCTGCCTCCTCATCCGGAATCAGCTGTACGGGTATTTGCAATTTCTTAGCACTGGAATGTTTGACTTAGGAGAGTCACAAGAGACGCTGGGGCTTGAACTGGGGGAGAAGACCAGTGAAGACGCTGCGGCAAACCGCTCCTGGGACGCCGGAACGACCATCTCGGGGTACTCACCAGAGGCGGTGGCCCCATGCTTTTCAACGGCCCTGAGCGTTCACGCCCTTCCGTAGGGCGCACCGCGACCCCGCCTCCAGGCCCGGAGTGCGCGTACGCGTGCGCACACAGAAGATGCTGGAGGAGGCGGGGTCCGTGAGCGGGCGGGACGCGTGAGGAGGAGAAGGATTTCTGCTTCCGGGGAGAGCCGGAAGTCACTGTCTCCCTGGTGAATAAGGTGGTTGCAACGCGGGGAAGCGGACGCAGGTGATTGTTCGCGCGGGTGGGCGATCGGGCAGGGCTGGGCTGTGAGGGACCGGGCGCTCGTCAACTGGGGGGTGCTCACGGGGTCCTGGAGGAGATGCCGAGGGCCCCAGGCTTAGGGGACGGCTCGTCGGGGAGTTTGATTCCCCCGGGCCCCTGCCCGCTGAGCGCGGCTGCTCCGAGGCCTGGCTCCTATGCGCGGCCGGCGAGAGGCGACGTGGAAATCTGGGTGAGCTTGGAGGGCCCGCCCATCCGCCGCCTCTTGAGTCGCTGCAGGGTGGGAGGCCGATCCCTCTTCCACCCCTCGTTGGAGCGCTTGGACTTGGATCGCTGCGAAAAGACAGGGAGAGATCCCTGGAGCTTCATGTGCAGGCCAGACCCCTTTTCTGGGGTGGGGTTGGAGGAGCTATAGTCGTCTGGTAGAATGAGAATCCTGGGGACCATCCCAGTAGCTTCCCATGCAGACGACATGTTTATTCATTCAGCAAATAGTTATGGCTGCTTAATGCATACCAGGCGCTATGCGTGCTGGGGATTCGGCGGCGGGCAAATCTCGCCTCCCCACGCCGGCAGAACTGACATCCTAGTGGGGAAGATCTGGGAGGAAGTTCAGAAATCTGCATTTTTTGAGCACCTCCTGATGGTTCTTTGCGAGTGGTACCCAGGGACGGGCTTTAGGAGAAAACAAAACGAAACTGTTCTGGCAGATGAGAGCATGGTCTAGAACAGGCTATGCCTTACTAAAGCCTGCGTAGTCTTGTGGGGCGTGGGTTCTGCTGCCCTCTTCTGTTCCATCTCATACTCTTTTTCCCCATCCCTCACTGATCCTCAGTCTTACTGATCTTTCTGGAAAAAGCTTCTGCCCTGGGACCTTTGTGGTGGCTTTTCCTGTGCCTGGACTGCCCTCTCATCATTCAGGCCTAAGCTTAAATGACTCTTGCCTTGAGAGCTTTTCCACTCTACTTTTAGATAAAATTGCCCCTTTCTGGAAATATTCATTGAGCCCTGTTTCATTAACTTCAGAGCACTTAGCAATCATTGAAATAATTTCGCTTATTAGTTAATTTAAATGTCTGTCTTCCTCCACTAGAATATAAATTCCTCAAGAGCAGATACGTTGCCTGCCTTGATTGCAGTATTGCTGTGCTTAGCAGAGGTCCTGGCATTGGTTCACTCATTCATTCAGAAATACCTCTTGAGCACTATCTCTGTGCCAAGATCAGTTCGTGGCTCTGGAATTACAAAGAAAAACAGGAAACCCCTGCCCTCTTGGAATTTACATTTGGAGGGTGGTGGGCGGGGCTGGAGAGGCAAATGAAGAGGCTGTTGTGACAATCTGGTCCAGATTTGGGATTCTGACCACAGAGGTGGTGAAAAGAGGTCGATCCCGGATATGTGTCATAGAGGTACAGCAACAGGATCAGGATTGGATAAGAGGTGTGAAAGAGAAGGGAATAGAGGAGGAGTCCACGGATTTTGGCAAGATGGCTTTGCTGTATGCTGTGATAGGGAAGACTGGGAGAACCAGCTGAGGTGTCAGCAGCTCTGTGGTTTTGGACAGATTATCTTTAAGCATTTGTTAGCATCAGGTGGAAGTGTGGTCGAGGCAGTTAGACTGGTGAGTGTGCACTTGAGAGGAGACATCGAGGATGGTGCGTCGGAAGGCATCAGTGAATATAGACAGCACAGGAGCCCAAAGATCGAGCTTGTGGGCTCATAGATCATTAGAGAAGTCTGGATTTGGGGGGACCGGGGGAGCAGCAGCAACAGAAACTGAAATGAGCCACCAGTGAGCAGAGTTCAGCATCCTGAGAGTCCCGTGGGAAGCGTGGGAGGAGAGAGCAGTGTGTCTGGCGCCCTGAGGAGTCGGGACTGCCCCTTGGGGTGGGCAGCGTGAGATGGGGAGCGGGGTGCAGAGGGAGTGGGAGGAGATGAGGACAGCAAGTGCGCACAGGTCTTCTAAAAAAGGTGGTTGTTCTTCAGGATGGAAGAGGCAATAACTGTGTTAATGATCCGGTAGAGAGAGACAATGCAATGTTGGGAGCTGGGGTACAAGGTAACGCGTTGTTTTTGTGGGAAGCACTGCGGTTCTGCCATGGCAAAGGTGGGAAGGTGGGATGAAGGGCCTGGGGGTTTGTGGATGTTCTAAGCTGACTACCTCTGTTTACTCAGTGAATTGGACGCACCCTCAGTTAAGAATGGGAGTAATCACTAAATATGAATCAGACTCTGGTCTTTATTCTAGCAGGAAAAATGATGCTAGAACCAGCCATGGGGACTCGTGTGTGTGTGTGTGTGTGTGTGTGTGTGTGTGTGGCAGTAGGAGAAAACTGCTTTGCAGCCATCACAGATCCCTGAGCACAGTGCCTGGCTCAGTGGTAGTCCCTGCCTCCAAGCCCTCGATGTCCCTTTGGCACCTGACCCCATCATTTCTCCCAACATTTTGTTCTTCCTGTGCATTAGACATCAGAGCTGGTGCCACCTGCGCCCCCTACCCACCACCCACTCAGTCCTCAGCCACAACCTTAAGAGTCACCCTGGACTCCCCTCTCTCATCACACTCACCCAGTCCATGGACTTGCCTCCCCATCTCTCACCACCTGCTGTCCCCCAGCCCCCACAGACCTCTCCGGTTCTGACTTCATCTTCACCCAGACTTTTGACCCCAGACTATTCCATCCCTTAGAAACACAAAGAACTACTTTCACTCCCCACGGCCCCCAGGATCCATCCAAGCGTCCAGCCAAACCCTTCCCGCCTGTCCTGCTCCCTCTCCAGCCTGCTCCGCTCCCCCACCTGTGTGCTCCCCAGACTCTGGCCAAGGCCCTCAGACACCTGCCTCTCTGCCTTTGCACATGACATTTCTCTGCTCTAAATGCTTGTCCCCTCTTCTCTGCCCAGCAGCCTGTCACCTGTGGAGAGGCAGCCCAGGGTAGGCTCTTGAGTACCAAATCCCTTGAGGGTCATTACTCTCAGGCGGCAGTTGCTTGTCCCCTTGTCAAAAGGAGTAGCTGCTGAACACTTAGGTTCCACCCAGACTTGCGCAACAGGTCTGCTCAGAATCTCTTGTGTCATTCTCACCAGAACAGTGGCTTCCCGTGTAGGTGCCAGTGATAAGCGGGCCAGACCCCGTGCTAAGCACTTACTGTTGTATCAGCGCTTTAGGACCTCCTCTGAGAAAGCAACCTTATCTGTTTTACTGATGGGAAACTGAGGCACAGATAGCTTAAGTAACCTGCCTGGGGCACATCACACAGGAAGTGAAGGGCCAGGGTAGAACCCAGGCCGTGTGATGCCAGGGCCTGCTGCCATCCCCTCCACCCTGCATGCACCAGGATTGTCCACCTGCCTGGAAACTGGGACACTTGTCCCTCAGAGGCCAAGTGAGTCCCGCCTCCTCTACGGGCCAGCCAGGCCTGCTTCCTGGGGCATCGAGTTGGAGGGCTGGGTCCCTGGAGTCACTGACCTCTCTCCTCCCCCCCAGGTTCACCCTCCTACAGACATGGGGCGCAGAAAGTCAAAACGGAAGCCACCCCCCAAGAAGAAAATGACAGGCACCCTAGAGACCCAGTTCACCTGCCCCTTCTGCAACCATGAAAAGTCTTGTGATGTTAAAATGTGAGTGGGGGCCAGGGGTCCTGGCTCACAGGGCCTCCCCCTCCTCCTGCAGTCCAGGGGTGCTCCCTGCTCCCACCATCCTCCATTCTGCCCTGGGCCTTCCCAGTTAGAGGGAGCGTCACCCACAGACACAGGCCCCTGTACTCACCCACTGTCCCCTCCCGTTCCAGGGACCGTGCCCGCAACACCGGAGTCATCTCTTGTACCGTGTGCCTAGAGGAATTCCAGACGCCCATCACATGTATCCTTGGGAAACTGAGCTTTTTCCAGGGGGTGGGGGCAGGGCAGGGCCATCAGAGCTGCCCTGCCCAGGGCTGGTGGCTCAGGGGCCCCTGGCCAAGCAAGGGCAAAGGGACTGGAGTCTCTGCTCTCTGGCCCTGCTGTGTGTGCTGGGGCAGGGCTGTGGCCACCCAGGGGAACAGATGCCACCTGATAACTTATGTGGGGTGACAGGGTGCAGGGCAGGGGTTTGGCTGACACCAGCATGAGCAGCAGAGGTGTACAGGGAAGGGGTCTGATGCCACCAGTCATCCTTGACCCCAGCGGATCAGATCTGTCAGAACCGGTGGACGTGTACAGTGATTGGATAGACGCCTGCGAGGCAGCCAATCAGTAGCAACACAGAAGACCCACCCCCTTGGCAGCCCCACCTGCCTTGGGCCCACCTATTGGGTACCAATCCAAAGACATTCCAGGGTCCAGGGTGTGGGTCCTGGGCCTTCCCAGCCCTCTGTGTGTGTGCAGTGGGTGTGAGTGTGTGTATGGCTGCAGGTGTGGCCGTGGGGGTGTGCTTGTAGGCGTGGGTGGAGTTGAGGGGGGTTCGCTGGGCCCAGGGCCCCGAACTCTCTCACTTGGCTGTGAAAGCCTTGGACTCGCTCCCTCCTCTGGGCCCTGGGTCCTCCAGGAGGTGCCAGGGTCCTGACAAACTGGGCCAGGAGCCCAGCAGGGGCTACCTCCTGGACCCACCTCACCAGCATCTTGCCCATTCGAACTGGACTGCCCACCCTCCTTCCAGGCCCTGTGGCCTGGGGTTTGAAGCCACAGTCCCCCAGACCCCTTGGCTGGACCCCAGCGGGGTGCCCTCTGTTCACTTTTAGTCGCTTCTGTAGAGGAGGAAGGGCCTGGGTTTGGGGTAGCTATTATCAGTCACGAGCCCTTAAATAAAGCAGCTGATATAAAAATCCTGGCTCTCTGTGATTTTCTGGGTTTGGGGTCAGCCCCAGGGGCTCCACCAGCAAGATGGGGAGACTGAGGCATCCAGAAGTGCCTGCCTGGTGGGCCATTCGAAGTGTGGTTTGAATAGGCCTTCAGACTGTCCATTCTTTTGCTTACAGGACAAGGATTCAAGGTTAAACTGGGGTAGTGCTGGGCTCAAAGAACACAGATGAACCCACAGACATCTGGCCGGACATTTGCAGTCACAAGGAAATGGCCAAAACAGAGCCTGGAGTGGCGTGTGGTGGTGGGTTGGGGCCGGGTGGTCAGGGAGGGCTCCCTGGGGGATGGCCTGAGGGAGGTGACACTGAAGGGCCCTGGGTCACAAGCTGCTCTCTGGGCTGGCCTGCCTTTCTCCCTAGCCCTACACCGAGTCCCCACAGCCACCCTGTGAGGCAGGTGCCCCCGGCCTCCAGGGGACAAAACAGACCTGAGATGGAGGTCACCAGCCCAGGGTCTTCATGAGTCGGAGGTCCCGCCTGAGGAAACGGCTGGTGGCCCCCTGGGGACTGGGGCGGATTAGGGAGCACAGAAGAGTAAAAAGAGGAGACTCAGGTGGGTGAGGGAGCTGTGTGCGCACCTGTGGTGTGCGAAATACCGGTTTTGTCCTTGATGAGCGGTGCAGAGGTCCCCAAACCCTCGTCATTTCCTGAGTGATTGTGTCTTTTGTCATTCATAAGAAACCTTTTAGAGTCACACTTGAGTTTATGCTAACGAGGTGACAAGGTGGGGCCCTCGTTGGGCTTAGGATAGAGCTGGTCGCCAGGTAGACTGGTGGAGACTCAGCCACACCCAGAAGTGGGGGCTACAGGTCAAGCCCTGTAAAGCCTCAACAAGGTCTGGTGAGCTTCTGAGCTGGTGAACTCACGCAGGCGCAGGGAGAGTGCCTCCGAGAGGGCGTGGCAGCTAGGGGCCTCTTCCCCATACCTTGCCGTCTGTCTTCTGTCTGGCTGTTCCTGTGTTACACCTTTTTATAATAAACTCAGCTCTGTGAGCCGCTCTAGTGACTTAATCAGATCTGAAGAGGGGATCTTCGGAATCTCTGATCTATAGATGGTCAGTCAGAAACAGATGACAGACAACCTGGGCTTGGTATTGGTGGTGGAGGTGGAGAGGGGCTGTCTTACAGGACCCAGCCCTTACCCTGTGGGATCTGAGGCTGTCTCCAGCTAGGCAGTGTGAGAATTGAGGGTGCTCAGGTGCCCTCCGCGTGGTGCCTTCAGATGGTGTTATGGGTATAGAGGCCCTGGCAGCCTAGAGCAGGTCCCGTTTCTCCACCCGGCCTCAATTCTTCATTGGGACTGTGGAAAGGATGATGGAACCCTCCTCTACAAGGCCATGCTGAGGATGGAGGTGCCTAGCACAATGCCTGGCGTGGTTTACGGGATTCTGGACCCACCCAGGGCAGTGAGGGACGTGAACAGCCAAAGAACATGCTGAACTGGCTGGGAGCCCTGGCCAGCAGGCCCAGCCCGTGGGTCTGGCATGTGCTTCCCGAGACCCACCTTACCCTGACATGCCCCTCCCTGGTGCTCCCCCCCACCCCATCCAAGGCCCCTGGTAAGGTCTCCTGGCCTAGGCAGGAGCCAGTGGACATGGGCAGATAGGTGGACCGGCAACCTGCGTTGGGTGCCCTCCAGGGTCCAGCAGAAAGGGGGCTCGTTCCTCTGGCATCCAGGGCCCGCCCACCCCAGCCTCACAAGCTAAGTGCTAATATGGTGCTGTTTTCCCGAGGAGGCAGAGCCCTGGGCCAGGCAAGGATCCTCCTCAGTATAACTTCTCCACCAGCCCTGGGGGAGCAGGACTCACAGTAGCCAGGCCAAGAGCGCCTGGAATCTGGTTTATGAGGCCCCCGAGGCTGTGTGAGACTGTGTGAGCGGGTCTTTGGTGTCTCTGCAGGTCCCCACACTGCAGCCTCATCCCCTGCCCTGGGGAAAGAAGGGGCAAAGACTGTTCTGTGACCCCCACACAGCCACCTCCTCTCCTTGGAACCCTGACAGTTGGTCGCATCCAGGCAGGATGGCTGGGGCCCACATCGGGGAGAACAGGGTCCCCTCTGAAAAGTGCGGATTTTGGGGCCCCATTCTGCAGACTTCTGGTGTCCTGAGCTGGCAGGCCAGACTTGGGGATCAATCCTAAGAAGAGGGCAGAGAGTGAGCAGGCGAATGGGGCAGCCCGAGGGTGGCTACTCGGTAAAGGGCCATTGCCCTAGGCCCCTGAAATACCCAGCACCCACCCCCCCAACCCTGTCCTCTCCACAGTCCACTCGGGCTAAGGGCTCCCCCTGCCCGTTCTCAGTGGTTGGTGCTAAATATCGTCCCCTGTCTGGAAGGTCATTCCACTTAAGCTTCCTCATGACCCCACAAGTCTTGCTGTTTCATTTCCCTGATGTGAAATTGGGCTGAGGGAGGGGAAGTGACTTGCCAAGGTCACCCAGCTAGGCAGTCGCAGCCCCAGGACCTGCATCCCTTCTATCCCTGGGACTCTTCCTCACCACAGCCCACAGGCTCCCTGGGAAGACACACGGGTGCTGAGCACCGTGTGTGTGGATGTTGCGCATGTGCGTGAAGGTGTGCGTTTTTGTGTGTCGTGGGTAGGGGCGTGGACTCCATGTGGGTGGGTGTCCGTGTGTGCCCGCAGGGCTGGAGGGTGTACAGACTGTCCACGCAAGCCAAGCGGCTGTGAGCCTGGTGTGTGCACTTTAGGGCTCGTGTGAGTGTGTGTGCCGAGGCAGGTGTGCATGCAGGACGTGGGGTGAATCTCCACAAGATAATTTGCCAGAGCCACGCAGGCTCCAGGACACAACAGCCCCACATCAAATGATTTTACAGCTGTTTATTGTGCTCCAGTGAAATAGAAAAAGTGCTTGCGTTACAAACGCCACTGTCACATCCATGTACGCCAGTCGCTGCAAACCAAACCGCGTGTGTCCGCTGGGTCTCTGGGCATGCAGTTTGCTCCCACTGTGGGAATGGGGTGGGGGCAGGCCGAGCCTGGGCTCTGGGGGCTTCGCTTGGGGGAGCTTTTTGTCCTGGGGGACCCACCTGTGAGGGAGTGGGGGGACAGCCGGGGAGTTTTGCTCAGTGCATCCTTTGGGGGCCATTGGGAGCACCCAGCTCGAGGTTGGACCCTGCAGTGCTCCAGGGTGGAGGGCCTCCTTCCCCCTCTTAGGGCCCCGAGTCTGCTCCCCACAAACGCTAACCCTGGAGGCAGGTGCCAGGGGGCTGGAGGGCGCCATGCAGGGAGAGGGGGCTGGCGGGGCCGGGCTGGGCCCTGCCGAGAGCAGCAGCCAGCCTCCCTGGGGGGACAGCAGGGAGGCCAGGGCCCTAGGCAGAGTTGTAGTAGTTGTGTATGTGGTGGTTGTGGGCAGGCTCCCCTAGCTCCGGGTAGTCGGGCGTCAGGCAGTACTTGGGGTCATAGACCTGGCGCGGTAGCCCGTACACGGTCATTCCCCGCTGGGAGGCCCCCTTGTTACTGCCCATCTGCAGGCTGACATTGAGCGTGTCACAGTGCTCCATGCCCAGCGCTGGCTCAAAGATCTGCCGCTTGGTCCCAGGTGCGGTCATGCCAGCCTGCGGAGGACAGTGCAGTCAGGCCTGGGGGACAGAGGAGGCCTGAGCCCCACCAGCCCGCCTCACAGTCCCCCACGCACCTGGCTGGCTCCCTTGTTGGTGCCCATCTGCAGGCTGATGGTGGCCTGGTCCAGGGGCTGGTCCGTGCCCAGCTTGGGGTCATAGAGGTGGCGCCTGGTGCCGTAGGCTGTCATGCCCTGCTGGCTAGCAAATTTGTTGGTGCCCATCTAGGAAGCCAGAAGGAGAATCTCGCAAGGGTTGCAGAGCCTCACTGTGGGCCGCTAGATGCACCGTCAGTGGACACTTACACGGCCCTCTGACAAGGCGCTGTTTCTACCCACCAGCCGCAGACTAGGCCCAGAAGAGGTGTGTCATGGGACCGGTAAGTAGCCCAGAGCACCAGGGCCTGACTTCCAGGATTCAAGTCCCAGCCCCACCACTCATCACCTGGGCAATCCTGGCAAACGAGCTAGCTTCTCCAGGCCTCAGTTTCCTCATCTGTATAAAGGGTCTGATGATAACAGAACCCACCCCCTAGAGTTGCAGCAGTGAGTTGAGTGTACGGAAAAGGCATGCAGCCTGGCTCATAGTTTAGCTGAGGCCAAATATTCCACCTCCCAAAGTCTGCAGGGACCTGAGTGCCCTCCTGGCCTCCTTGACCTCCCCTGCCCCACTCAACAGCGAGACCCGGAGAGGAAGGGTCAGTACCTGCAGCCCGATGATGTTCCGCCCTTCTCTTAGCTTCTCTGGTTCAAATCTCCGTTCCTGCTTCTCCGCGTACTTCACGCCCACATTCACTTTGTTCCCTTTCGTCTTGGCCTGGGGAGGGTGAGGGGGGCAAGGACTGACCAGGGAGCCTCCAGGCGGCACTGTCTCCTCCGAGCACCTGCCCTCCCCTTCCTGGCCTTACTGGGCTCAGGGGTGCGAGCAGCCCAGCCCAGCCAGCGCCAGCCCCAGGCCCGCCCTCACCCGCGCTCACCATGCTGGCCAGAGCCAGGAGGGTAGACTGCACTTGCGTGTGGTTGGTGTTCTCGAACAGGTCGTTGGCCTCAAAGATGTCATGGGGCTTCACCCCGTACTTGGTGATGGCCTTGATGAAGTTGCCGATGTTTTCCAGCTGGAGGGGAACAGATGGTGGTCAGTGCGGGGTGGCATACGGTGGAGGGCTGAGGGGGTGAGGGCCCAGGGTTGAAAGAGTTAAAAAAAAGAGTTGGCTCACCTGGTGCCAATTTTGGGTCGATTCATTGACCTTCTTCACGGAGCCTGGCTGGAGCTTATTGATGAACCTGTAAGGAGTAGGAGAGAGAGCAGTGACCTCCTTGGTGACCTCCTTGCCCCACCCATGCCCAACCCCCTGGGGCAAGGGGCCCGACAGTCAGTGGGCGACAGCCCTT